TTCCAACCCTGTCCCCAAATATATGTGTTTGTGTGTGGGTATGCGTGGCCAAGATACATAACTACATTTTGTACAGGTACCTATATGGTGCCCTTTTTTAACCATATCTGTTTCATTCTTTCTAATTCTGAGAATATATACGTGTATCTTCCTCAGTTAGAGTATAACATCACTTGGGACAAAATCCCTTACATTAAATTCACTTTCATAAAAAGAAGGTTCACAACTATAGCTTTCAAAGAATCTTAGTATTAGAAACAGGACTAGAGGGGCGCCTGGGTGGCTCAGTCGGTTGAACGGCCGACTTCAGCTCAGGTCATGATCTCGCGGTCTGTGAGTTCGAGCCCTGCTTCGGGCTCTGTGCTGACGGCTCAGAGCCTGGAGCCTGTTTCAGATACCGTGTCTCCCTCTCTCTCTGACCTTCCCCCATTCATGCTCTGTCTCTCTCTGTCTCAAAAATAAATAAACGTTAAAAAAAAAAAAAAAAAGAAACAGGACTAGAGGTCCCTTTGGATGTGTTCAAGCAGGCTGTAAATTCACATAAACTGAGTAATAACTCGGTCCACGTCTCTCCCCCATGGCATGTGAGGTTATTTTGTGCGATCTTGTCAGATGTGGGGACAACCTCCATCGCCAGCACTCCCTGACCTACCCAAACAGGAACGGTCTGCTCTTCCGTACTGATTCTTTAAAGTCACACAACTTTTTAATCAAGCATGCTATAACGTTTCCAGGAAACAGATTCGGACTTACTGGCTTGTACTGTCCATGAGTCACCTTTGGGACAATTGGGCTGATGTTTCTGTGACTCCTGTCTTTTGACGTTCTCACTTCCCATGCCCTGTAAGAACCCATGGCTACTCAGTTTTATCTGCAAATCTTTTCAGCGCCCTGAAAGCAAGTTTTTGGGGCCAAGAGACACAAATCTATTTTGTGAGGCACCTCTATAGAGTGTTCTCTTTTAACCAGATTTGTTTCATCCTTTCTAATTCAGAGAGCTATCTTTGATGGAGAGGAACCGGAAAGGAGTTATTTGTTGACTTAAAGGTATCACGAAGAATAGAGTCCTTCTAACGTTTAAACAGGGACGGTTCTCCACCCTGGCTGTACATCAGAACCACTTTGAAAGATAAAGGCAAAACAAAACAGAAAAAAAAAAAAAAGCCTGGAACCCCCCCCTCCCCCCAGACATCCTGACTTAATTGATCTGGGCTGGGGGCCTGGACATCTGTATTTTTCTAACGTGTAGAATTGAAAATCACCGCAAATCGAACCATTAGAAAAGTTATGACTTTTTTTAAGGCTCTATTCCATAGGAAATCTTGTCTGTTGTCGCTTCAGCTGCAGCAAAGCTGTGGCAGATAAAAAGAAACCTCCAGGCTGTAAACCCACATACCATGGGGGCCCTGAGCATCAGGGGTGGGGGCAGACTACTTAGCTTAGTGATTCTGAAACTCTATTTTTGGATAGAATCAGCTGAGGACCATGTCTGAAATACAGATTCCTGGGGGGTGGAGCTCCATTCTGAAGTGGTTGGGGACAGAAGGAAGGTGGGGGTGGTCAGGAATCTGCATTTATTACCTGCAGGCCAAACGATGCTGACGCTCCCGTCCACAGCCTTAGCCAGTGGCACATGCGTGGGACACTGTTCCGTATATTCACAGCAGAACTTCTCAGTGTCAGTCGTGACCCTGATGGACTGGGGATGGCTTAGAGTTCAGCAGATCCAAAGGGAAAAGCCTGATCCTGGACCACAGAAACAGATGCTGACAAAGCCATGTTTTCTGGAAGGTCCCCATCATTTCTGGGTTGATTCTTTACCAATCCCTCCCCAGCCGTGTCCTGCAATTTCTGGTCAGCTGTTGTCTTTACACCATGCCCCTCCTTTCTTAACCTTTGCCCTCTAAACACAATTTCTTTTTTTTTTTTTTAAATATAATTTATTGTCAAATTGGTTTCCATACATCTAAACACAATTTCTTTTTTTTAAATTTTTTTTTTCAACGTTTATTTATTTTGGGGACAGAGAGAGACAGAGCATGAACGGGGGAGGGGCAGAGAGAGAGAGGGAGACACAGAATCCGAAACAGGCTCCAGGCTCTGAGCCATCAGCCCAGAGCCTGACGCGGGGCTCGAACTCACGGACCGCGAGATCGTGACCTGGCTGAAGTCGGACGCTTAACCGACTGCGCCACCCAGGCGCCCCTAAACACAATTTCTAAGTGCTGACTAGCCCCAGTTGGAAAAGCCTCAGCTTCAGGAGCCCTCCGGGTACCTCCCACCCAGGAGAGCGCTCCGTCACTGTCCCGGGGCCTCTGAGGTACCCGAGTGCCTTCTTTCATGTGACCAAACTGCCTTTCTGAGGGCTCTCTCTCTCTTATACCATGGCCCCTTTTCCTTTCTGGCCATGAAGTCCTACCCAGGGGTCTCTAAACTTACACAGTGTGCACCCCATCCAAGCGAAGCCTCCTACACCCCAGAGCTGAGCCCCATCCTGCCCTAGAGCTATGCTCTCTGCTTACCCAGGCTCTCCCTACTAGAATCTGGGCACGGTGTTTGCTCTTTTTCTCACACCCTTTTCCACTGTTAGTCTCAATACCTTTTCTTTTTCTTTTTCTTTTTTTTTAATGTTTATTTTGGAGACAGAGACAGCCAGAGCATGAACGGGGAGGGTCAGAGAGGGAGGCACAGAATCGGAAGCAGGCTCCAGGCTCTGAGCTGTCAGCACAGAGCCGGACGCGGGGCTCGAACTCATGGACCGCGAGATCATGACCTGAGCCGAAGTCGGCCGCTCAACCGACTGAGCCACCCAGGCGCCCCAATACCTTTTCTATGTGAAACTGTGAACTTGCAACCATACATGTTTCCTTTTAGGAGAAAAGTCTATCTAAATAGGCTGTCATTTTTCATTCTTCATCTCAGAGATGAAATCATCAACACGTCACAAGTTTGCCAAACGCGCGCTTTTAGTAGACCATTCTGGTAAAGGATCAGAGAACTGAACTACATGCTTAACTGCATCTTGCCTCTTTCTCGAATCAGGATTCGGAGACCATGGCCTACAGATGCTGGATCCCGTGGTCCTCAAGTTTCGTAATAACCCCCACGGCGACATCACTTGTCGTCACACTTCACTTCTAATTTGGGGACATACACTGACCCTGTCACCCCTTATATTAGGCCTTCCATATCCCAGTCCTCACCCTGTTTCTGGGGTACCTGGGGATCCCAGGTGTTAACATCGCAAGTTCCCTTTGCCTAATACAATCTCCTAACTTGAAACCCAATATAAGATTCCTTACCCTTTCCCATTGTTCCATGAAAATTAACAGATTCTCCAACTGCTCTGTCTCAGCCACACACACTTTCTTATGAATACCAACATTTATAGTTTCACCTGAGCCCTTTTCTCACCCTTTCAAATGTCAGCGTAAAGGCCTTTTGGTGAAATTATGGAATTTCTGGCAAGCACATTTTTCCAGATCTTCCCAGGTAGACTTTGGCTCTTACCAGAAATCCATCGTTCTGGCGTGACAGTTGCTCTCCAGTGTCAACTGCTTGCCAGAAACAATCAAGAATTTGGAAAACCCTCACAAAAGGAATGACAACAGATGACTTTTGGCTCACGACCTTTTGTGCTATGAATAGCCGGTTGCTGGTCTGCCCTACACCTGGGAAATCTTGACTGGCAGCGTGCGGTGCGGCTGGATCTCAGGAGACCTCGTTACTTGTTGAGTGTCCGTCTTCATGTTCCCAAGGCCCGCGTGCCAACCTGGCCCTTCCTCTAGTTGCTGCTGTTGCCTGCTGAGGAAGGGGAATGCTTCTCTCTCCTGCTGCCACAGGTCTTTATCGAAGCCGTCAGAGGCCGGCCTTGCCGAAGTCCTCATTCAGCACTCTCAGGAGCTTCCGGCTCATCACCTCACACCTAGGTTAGAGACATCTGACTGATGCCCCTCAGGACCACCTCCAAGGACTCCTACCTGCTAACACTCACCCCAACCGTCCTGATCCAGTAGGAGTGCGTGTGGACCCAGCCATCTCTACCCAGTGGCTGCGGGCAGGTTTTGTTCTGTTTTGTTTGAGGATCTAATCGGCAAAGTGGGACAAAGACTATTAGTCCCGATGTTCTTTTTACAACTTGTCCCATTTTATTTCAAGATTTTATTTTTAAGTAATCTCTGCACCCAATACGGGGCTCGAACTTACCACCCCAAGATCAAGAGTCGGGTGCTGACTGCGCCAGCCAGGCGCCCCGAACAAACTCCATTTTTAGAACACACACATATTTAAGATTCTGAGACTCCACAGACTCTCCTCCTCCAGTGATTAGCCCTTCCCTCAGTTTCACAAGAGAACTCTTGAGATGGGCGCTCTACCCCTGCTCTTTCCACCTTCCCAACTCCCATTCCTTCGTTAACCCATTTATTTTTGGCTTCCCTTGTCACCACTCACTCCAAAATGATCTTGTTAAGATCACCAATATGCCCACCTGCCGCCAAGACTTTGCTAGCTTCCTCTTCCTGGCTCTCCTCTCTGAGACACTTACCAGTGAGTGCTCCCTCCCTGAGGCACCCTCCTCTCTGAGGTGCTCGACTTGTTCCTCCCCTGGTTCTGCTCCTTTCTTGACTCCTCTTCCTCTACTTCATCTGACTGCTGGCTTCTGCTCAGGGCTCCTCTCCTCGAAGTGATCTTACCCAGTCCCATAGCTTTAAATACCTTCTGCATGGGGGCGCCTGGGTGGCTCAGTCGGTTAAGCATCCAACTTCGGCTCAGGTCACGATCTCGCGGTCCGTGAGTTCAAGCCCCACATCGGGCTCTGTGCTGACAGCTCAGAGCCTGGAGCCTGCTTCGGATTCTGTGTCTCCCTCTCTCTCTGACCCTCCCCCATTCATGCTCTGTCTCTCTCTGACTCAAAAATAAATAAACATTAAAAAAAAATTTTTTTTTTTTTAAATAAATACCTTCTGCATGTTTGACCACTCTGTAATTTCTATCTTCAGCCAATCCCTCCATGAGAATCATATATGCACCTGGACCCACGTGCTTCAAGTACGACATACTTGACATCGCCACTGGGCTAATGGCCATCGCAAACCTGTCCAGAGGTGAGTTCTTAAATTCCTGACATGCTGTTCCCAAAACTCTCCCCTCACCCATCTTCCCTATTAGATCAGTTTATGGCACCACCACCTGCCCAGCTGACCAAGCCAGAAGCCTGGCAGTGGGCTCTGATTCCTCCTTTTCTTTCATTCATAGAGAAGCCATCGGCAAGTCTTGTTGGTTCTACCTCTAAAATCTTTTCAGTCAGCCCATTCGTCTCCTGCCACCACCCAGGACCAAGTCTCCACCGCCATCTCCCAGGATTGTTGTTAGTCTCCTAATTGTCTCCCACTCCCACGCTTGCCACGTTCCAGATGATCCTCCACATGGCAGGAATGGTGCTCCCGACAAAATGCCAATCGAGTCACATCCCTCTCCTTCTCAGAACATCTTCCATTCTTCCCGCTGCATTTGAAATAAAGTCCAAAAGCATCACCACAGGTGACAAAACGTTGCCTTATCTGGTTCCTGCCCACCTCCAAACCTCATCCCATGCCACACCATCCCGAATGTTCCCTTCACTCCAGCACACGGGGCCCTTCCAGTCCTAGAACAGGCTAGGCTCTTTCTTGCCTCCGGGCTCTGTACTTGCTGTTTCCTCAGCCTGCAAGGCCGAGGTTACCTGGCCTCCTGAGAGGAATCTGACGGCCACCTATCTAGAGAAGGGCACACCTGTGGTACTTTCACAATACCTGTGTTCCAAGCGGACTACAAACCGCATGAAGGCAAGGACCTGTCTATCAAGCCTATGGTTGCACCCCCAGGCCCTGATACGTGGCTGATTGGTACTGAATGATGATCCAGAGGTGGGTCTTTTGTCTACAGATTCCTAAGGACCGACCTTCATATGCCACAGCTCCCCATAAAGGTATGCGGTTGTAGGATCTCTGGCACCTGTGAAAGCGTGCTGCTCAAATCTCCTAGGCCATGGGAACCCAGCTGACAGCCCCAGTTGTGGCCCCTTGGATCCAGCGGTCTTCCTTCTGGGGCCACCCTCTACCCACTGCCCACCCGGCCCCCAACCACTGCCCAGCCCTCCCCTGCACAGGAGGCCTCTCTCGGGCGACTTCTGCTTAGGGGAACACCCCATTGGCCTGGCAGAAAGCTTTCTCAGGACTGTGTGGCAGTCTGACGCTTCTCCCCAGTTCTTCCTTTCGTATCAGTTCTCCCTTCACAGGCGTGAGAACTGCCTGGTAGTCTGGAGGCTTTCCAGGAATATTCCTACCCTCTCCCTCGGTCCTTCACAGGCATGTCCCGTACCCTGTTGCACTTCCAGTCCTGTTTTGGCATCAGTTTCCCAGGTGCCCCTTTAGAGCCTTGAAATATTGATACTATAAACCGCAGTCCCGAAAAACAAACTCTTACCTGATACTGTGTGTAAAACCATCTGCTCCCTTCCCATACCTCCTCTAGGCAAGACCTTCAACTAGAAGAGATAAAAAAAACACCACCTGTGCCCCGGAACTTCTGGTTTACCACCTAGGGTTCCAGATCACTCCAGATACATTCCAGATGTCACTTAACCTTTGTCCCCACAGGAGCTAGCAGAATAGGTAACCACTGGCTGACCTGGTCAGTTCTGGCACAACTGAGGCCCGTGATCCAGACAGGCAGCGTTAGGTTCATACGCAGGCATCTATAAACCCCTCAGTAAATGAAGTCACTAACTACTGGCCCTTGTTTGGTTCTATTGACGTTGTCTCTGTAGCTCCTAGAAGGCTTCACTCGTGTTGTGGAGAATAAAACCTACTCTCTTGTGAGGGAGAAGCACATTTGGCTCTATAACTTGTATACGTGGCATTTCTTCACCTTCTCTGGCTGAAAAATCAATCCTTTTTGCCCTACTTCTGTGTAAGCGCCATGAACACCAATGGTCTGTTTTGTCCATTATCATGTCCCATAAAGGCACTCGGCAACTGCTGAGCAAATTGTCCTATAGGTGCTTTCCCATTTTCTGAAACTCAGAGTAATCAAGTGACTTTCCCATTCAAGTGGCTTATCTGCCAGGGTCAGAAAAGTAGACTGCTTATTGTGTATGGTTAACATTTACTGAACACTCGCTCTAAGCACCCAGTGCTTACATCCCATTTAAGAGGTAACTAACTCTCATCATTGTCCCTACTTTGCCAATGACTACATAGGTCTGGCCAGGTTAGGTGACTTACCTGAAGTCACAAAGGGAAAAGGCAGGGCTGAAACTCAAACACAGGTGAGGTCAGAGCCCACGTTCTAAATTCTCACACCATACTGCTTCCTCCCAAATGACAAGAAACAATCATCCCCCTCGACATGATCAGAACTGAAAAGAATAGACCGTTAGATCTTTGGGAGGCTAATGAAAGGTCAATAAAACATCTGGTAGCAGCAGTAAGCCACAGGGCAGAATTACATTTTGCCTTTCCTTAGAAGAAAAATAAGTGGATCTCAGTGTTAGAACAGTAGCTCAGTAAGATCAACACTGCCAGCGATCCCGTCATTGACAGAACAGCTGACACTGACCGACTCGAGGTACCCACGTCAAGACCCAATGATACATGGACCAAACAAAATGGGGCAGTGTCCTCTCAGGCTGCCATAAGAGAAGATTTGAGTAGATGGAAAAGGGAGAAGGAATAGAGGACAATACAGAAGAATTACGAGAGTTAAGCAAGCGTGTGGTTTTCCCCTGAGATTTGCCGTTCCCGGTTTTGCATTTGACCATTTAAAGCATACATCACATTCCTCTGTTCAGTCTTAAGGGGAAAACTGCCAAATGTTGGTTGTGGATTAATCGCTGCTGTGCCATTCAGCTCTTGTTGACACAGGGACGAACATTCGGAATACGGTATTAACAACTGGTGGGGCGCGGGCTGGTCAGACAGGTCCTGGGCCACAGTGCTGCCGCAGGGTCTGCCAGGCCCCTATTCTGTCATCCCTTTTGTTGGTAGGGCAGAAGGAGGTTACGGAAAGCAGAGGGACAGCGTGGCTGAGGAGTGGGCATCATTTGGGATAATCGGTTAAGTTATTCCCTACTGGGTAGAAGCATCTTAATATGGTAAGTGGCAGGGCTGGTCAGACTGGTACAGCCACTAATCAGCTTTGGATACGGGTTAATTGGATCCTAATTTCAAACCTCTTGGGTGAAAACGTTTGACCCTGAACTTTTTATTTCACGTTAGATCAAGTTATGTTAATGAAGAACTAGCTTAGAATATGAAAGGCAAACCTCTGTATTTCGACGTAAGCGTCACTCCGTGGTCTTGGTACGTTAAAACCATTTCCTTTGAAACTCCAAGTTTTCCTTGTAATCTATCTTCCCCCAGGGATCTGACGGTAGTCACATCAATCCCACAACAGGAAGATTAATTCTTTTAGGCCTGTAGTTAGACTTTCGAGAACAAAACAACAAAATACTAGTAAACCTCAAGTTCTTTGCTCATGCAACCAAACACCCTTATGGAAGTGGATTTGGAGGCAAGGCCTCCCTCACGTAGGGCGTGTCCAGTGGGCTGTGGCATTTCCCTCAAGTGGCCGGCTCTTCAATTAGAGCCTTTCACAAGGCGGGCCGATTAAAATCCGGTTTTATATTGAGTTGGTGAGTTTTGTAGTTAGAGCTTTCAAGGTGTTTTAAATCACAGAGGCCCAGCTGAGCAGGGTGACTCTGGTCATGGGATTTTCCCCTTTACACAGTGCAAACAAACCGTTAAAAAATAGTGGCACTTTGAATTTGGAAGTTGAAACCCAAACCGATCAAACCAAACCAACCAACAAACAAAACCAGTTTCACAGTGTGGATGGAAAAGTAAGGGGCTTCTATTTCCATCTGTCTGTACGGACTGAATGATTTACCACAAAGCACGAGTTACTTTTATTATCTACAAACTAATTACCACCACCCAGACTGTAAAGAACAAGGGAAGGGAAGAAAAGCTCCAAATTAAGACAGGTATTTCCCACCACCTATCCATTCAAAACACAAAACAGCATCAAATATTTTGAATATCTGCACCTATCCACACCGGACGCCCTGGGCCAGAATGTATCTGCACAACCTCCTTTTCCAGGGAGTGCTGCTACCTGTCAGATGGCCAAGGGCCACGTTTGAGGCTTTTCCTTTCTACCATGTAATAGCTGGTGGTTATCCTCATTTCAGAGACGAGAACAGTGGGATTCAGAGATGTGCAGTGAGTTTACTGCTCAGAGTCACTCAGATTCTCAATGGCAGGGATAGATTCAAATCTAAGTTCGCCCGACTGACACAGACCTAGGCGATTTCCCCCGCATCAGTGACTCTTAACTATCTTCTTCCTGCTATGATGCACATGCGATTTCACACTCGCATCTGTGACAACCAGGCATACCTAGAGTTTATATGTGTGGTTCTCCACCTGCTGCATGTAATTCGAGCTCTTTCTCCCCCTCTGAAGAAAGCATGCTGAAATGCTACTAAGTGGTGTTCTTGCAGGGGACAGACAGTCTTGAAACCATTCTAATTCATAAAAGAGTCTACAAGCTTTGGTACTTTACAGCAATCACTAGTTAACAGCTTGCTTTTCATAGCGTGAAAGCACACACCAGCACATCGCACACGGTCTTGGAGAACCACTGCCCTACACCTCAAAGGGCTCGAGACTTTACAAAAACACTTTAACATAGATTTTAAAAATATCCTCCTTGCACCGCTAACAAGAGCTTCCGAACGGCTCCTCTGCCATTTGTCCACGCAAAACACGTTGGGACGCATGGCCTCCTTACCCACATCAAAGGACAGCCAGGGTGGAAGCTTGTGTATAGACCTTTGACTCCAAAATTGCACTTCTGGGAGTTTTTCTGAGAAAATAACCACTATTACATTTGAGTTAAAAGACTAAAATAAGGGGCGCCTGGGTGGCGCAGTCGGTTAAGCGTCCGACTTCAGCCAGGTCACGATCTCGCGGTCCGTGAGTTCGAGCCCCGCATCAGGCTCTGGGCTGATGGCTCAGAGCCTGGAGCCTGTTTCCGATTCTGTGTCTCCCTCTCTCTCTGCTCCTCCCCCGTTCATGCTCTGTCTCTCTCTGTCCCAAAAATAAATATAAGTTGAAAAAAAAAAAAAAAAGACTAAAATAAGTCTCGTAATGTCAATATATTCCTAAATAAATGAATCGATAACTTGGTATCCCTCTATTTTCATGCTACCTAGAATGACTAGTACATTTTATGTCACCGAGGACTAAAACACTGAAAACGTCGGTTAAGATGCTATATTTGAATATGGCATATTTGTTTCTAAGTATTTTATGCCAACACTTTAAATATAAATTAAGCTAGTTGTGCCTAAAAAATAGACAACGCCAAGTACATTTTAAGCTCGAGCACGGGTGCCGAACTACAATCAGGTTTCCCTGGCCATCAGGGCTCCGGGCCTCTCTGAAGGAAGCCTTGACTTAGGTACGGACATTTACCACAGGACACTTCCTGGG